TTTTTTTTTAGACAAAAAATTTAATAAAATGTTTGATAAAAAAAAAATATATATATATATATATATATATATATACTGTATATATTTAATATGTCAGGCTTTAACAGTATATACACGGTGTATCATTTAGATGGCCTCTAATAAACCTATATTTGACTTTACATTGTTTTCAGCAACAATTGTTTATTTTAAATTACTTTAAAACAGAAAACTTTACCTGGGTTGATGTAAAGAGGACTCTCCACGGTCTTGGCCATGCACTGGAGTTTGACGGCCTGTAGAGGACAGTCTGTGTGCGTGAGGGCAGGCAGGCTGCTCAGCGTGTCGCGGGCCAGATTTGCCACCTCTCTCATGCTGAAGATCTTTAGCAGCTCGCAGCACACAGTCGGGAACGATCTCAGGAACACGGCCTGCGAAAACGCCAATAAACAAGTTATTTAAATACGGGAAAACCCCGATTAGTTTGTTTTTAATACATGCTGCAGTATGTTTGTATTTTATGCATGTGTGTCTCTGTAATGCCGCTATCATCTTCCTCCAAGCACATTTGCACATTGATTTAGTGTGAAAATGTTCCTCTGGCGCGGTAGGGGATGTCAAACAACAGATGTAAGCAAAGGCACTCGTGAGCACACACAAATATCACGGTGACACGAATCTGGCACAGCTCCAGTCGCCTGCATGTGCTTCAGATTATGGCGTGGTGTCCAAAGACGCTTTGTTTTCTTGGCCGTGTTAATTGAAATCTGCTCTCCTGCTGGGCCGCCATAACAAGAACAGACCTGCGTGAGAGTTCAGTGCGAGTGAATGTGCGAATGTGCTCACACGTCTCCACCGAAAGCAACCTCGGAAAGAACGGGAGCGAGTCTCTCTGCCCGTCAGACACACATGGCTCAGCTGACTCTGAGCTCGGCGGGCCGTGACGGTGTGTGGCGGGCCTTTAGCGCGCTCAGCGTGCATCTCTGTTTGTGTACATCAAGACTGGCTTAACTCTCCATGGGCTGACTTGAGCTTTGAAAGCTGATATGCTAGCAGAACAAATCTGGGTGGGGCTGAAAAAGAAGTACTGTATTCATTAAATGCTCCTAGTGTATGTATTTGAGTAGCAGATTTCTCGAAATGTCCTCACAAATATAGTAAAACTGAACGGTCCAGATTAGTAAAATGGTACCGATATGGGTAAAATATTGTCGTAATCCAATTTCCTTAAACATCTTAAATTCTAATCGAAATCAATGTGAAGTCTTGTTTACAGATATAGGGCTAAATTAGTGCAAATACTCTGAATACCCTGAAAAGAGATGGTGTATCTGGTGGTATGAATCCATGGACATTGTTATAATGCAGTGTAATATTGCCAACAAACTCAGGTCATCAATAACAGTTTAAATAGCAGACCCAAGTTTGGGTCGATTCGCACTGCAAATCATTTTTATGCAAAAGATTTGACAAATAAAAATTGCAATAGTTAATTAATAATTAATTAATTAATGCATTTAGCAGACGCTTTTATCCAAAACAACTTAGTGTATTCAGGCTATCCAGTTTTTTACCAGTATGTGTGTTCCCTGGGAATTAAACCCACGACCTTTTGCGCCGCTAACGCAATGCTCTACCACTGAGCCACAGGAACACTAAATAAAATAATATAAGAAGTAGTAATAGTAGTAGTAGTAATAGTTAACTGCAATTTGCAAACAACACTTGCTAAACACAATCACATCTGATTTCTGTCTGCATCAGCAAGTGACTAATAATGCTAAAATGAGAAACACGTTGTAATCTAATGCTGCATTCGTTTTTAATGAGAAAAATCTATTATTATTTATTATTACTTATATTACATACCATTTCTTATTTTTCCTTTTTCAATTATTTATCATTATTATTATCTTAATTTTAAATTGACCTTTTATTTAATTTTTAAGGTATTAAGGCTTCAAACCTGAAAATTCACTATGAATATTCCTGAAAACAAATAAGCCATTCAACAATTTTGACTCCTGAAACGGTATACACTTCAAAAGTTTGGGGAAAGAAATTAAAACTTTTATTCAGCAAGGATGTATCAAATTGATCAAGTGACTGTAAACACTTTTACATTGTTCTAAAAAAATCTAATTCAAATGCTGTTCTTTCAAACTTCATGGATCATGTGACACTGAAGACTTGAGTAACGGCTGCTGAAAATTCAGCTTTGCATCACAGGAATAAATGACATTTTAAAACATTCAAAACAGTTTTTTATTGTAATAATATTTCACAATATTACTATTCAGCCTAGGTGAGCATAGGAGACGTATTCCAAAAACATTTTAAAATGTTGCAGGCCACAAACTTTTGAACGGTAGTGTAAGATGACTGTTTGGATTATAGACCTGGAACTGGACCACTTCAGGTTGTAAAAATGCATTTGTATGATGGTGTAGTATTCTCAAGTGCTAGAATATTAGCTTACTACATACAAAAGAAATGCATGCTTTCTCATCACTCAGTACAGTACATACTTTTTAAAAAGGGTGTAAACTTGTATCCAGTCTACAGGCCTGTGTATGTCTCACCTGTGTGTGTGTGATGGGGCTGATGCCCTTACTCTCATGCGACAGGAACAGGTGGATTGATTTAAAGAGTTCGTGAACAGAGCAGCGAAATTCCTCCTCATTCTGGCCTCCGGTGGCTGCCGCGTACAGACGCCGTGACTGTACAATGTACTTAAACAAGTACTCAGACGCCTGCAGGTATATGATATCAGACAATTGTTATTTCAATAATTTTTTTTAAAAATCCAAACAATCCAAAAAATATTAACCCAGTAAAACATTCTTAACCCTGTAAACCCTGTTGAGCATCATATTCAATATTTTTATGGCTCTATTTCTCCCAGAAAGATGATATTTAAATGTTTAGTTCTATGATCAAAGCTCTGTTATTTTTATTGTGGGGGCAAATCATATAATGCAATGTATGTAACACAATAATGATTGAAAAATTATCAAATAAACATTCTCAAAAGCCTGATGGATTGATGTTCACATTTTAAAACAATTTTTAAAAAATAGTGAAAAATGATAATCAAGTAAACCAAGTTGCTTCAGTCCAGTAAATGTTCATCTTGAAATATTACTTACAATATAAAAGCTATTCTTACGTTTACTTTATCAACATCAGCCAATATTTCACAACAAAAAGACACATGAACCGATAATTATACTAAAAATTATACTTGCAAATCAATCAGGACAGAAGGGATTTAAATGTAACAATATATTAAATATAATGGCATGCAAAAAGAGAAATAAAGGTCAAACCTGGAGACACTTGTGTGAAGTGCATTTTCCATTTTTAAACATTTAAATCAGAAAGAGCAAAAAAAAAAAACACACACACAGGATGAATAGCACACAATGTACCCAAAGAGATTTGAAAGGTTCAAGGTAAGAAAGTGGGAATTGCTTTCACATAACACCTTTGAAGGGTGTAAACGAGCGTGGATACATTTAGCGAATGCGCCTGGTGGTCCCATGGCAGGTCATGAAAGCCGAATGGGCGAATGAAGAAAGAAAAGACTGAATGTTTGTAGCTTAATTGCATGATGAGAAAGAAAAGAGCTTCCTGTGGGTGAGAGAGGCTGGAGAGGTAGATCAGATGCATCAAGAGTATTCATAGCTGCTGGGGAGGAAGCTCAGAAGATCAGCAGGGGGTGAGGGTTAACCCCAACATGACAGGCTGACAGAGAGAGATAGGGTGCTTATGTCTCCTCATAGATTTGCATACATACTGTAACATACATCCCGAATGAAGCGTATGTTAGTGTTCTCACCTTCAAAACCTGCTGGATCTGTTCTTGGTGCTCGGCATCAATGATACGATCCACATACCACTTCAACACACGGATCAGATCCCTGCAGACACAAGCCGTGAATATCAGACATCGAGGGCAATGTTTGTTTAAGTGTGAATGTTGTACGTTTCTGTTTGTCCTGCAGGGAAGATTCATCATATCACAAATATGATACACATAAGGCAGCACTCAAGATTTTACGGATCTCCTAAAATTACATCTGCAGGTAAAAGAAAAATGCATGGGAAAATGTTTGCATGCTCATGTTACACTATTCAGTAACTTTACGTTTTTGATGGGGTTTTTTTAATTCGCTAGTTTGTATTTAGTTTATATTTTAGTTATTAATTTCAGTTTAGTTTTAATGGAGAATAAATTGGTTTACACTTTTGTTTAAAAGTTCAAAATAACAGCATTTATTTGAAATGGAAATATTTTGTAACATTATAAATGTCTTTACTGTCACTATTGATCAACTTAATGCATCCTTGCTTTATTAATTATTATTATTATTAGTATTAATTAAAAAAAAAATCTTAGTGACCCCCACTTTTGAATGGTAGTGTATTTTGCTTGATATCGTTAGTATAGTTTTTGACTATTTTTTTTTTTACACTGCTAGTGTCAGGGTTCTGCCCTGACAGTCATATCTGTTCTGTCTTTGTTTAATGTGTCCTTGTTTGTCTTGTGTCTGAGCACATGGCTTTGTCTTTGTTTATGTTGGCCATGTGCTCCTCTCGTCCTGCCCCCTTGTTTCCCTCTACCACGCCCCCTTGTTTAGTCCTAGTTAACTTGATTGTGTCCACCTGTTCCTCATGTGTTCTGCTCCTTTACAGTGTGCCTCTTCCCTCATGTCTCTGCTGGTTCGTTGCATTAGTTCTTTATGTGAAGAGAATTTTTTGTCAGTCCACTAGTCGTATTAGTAGTGTTATTTTTACACTCCTTGTCAGTCTAGCTTTGCATTTAGTTTTCTAGAGGTTTATTAGGTTTTCTTTGCTTTTTGTTATTTTGCTCTAGTCTAGTTCCTGTCTTTATTTTTGTTCTAGTTTTATCAAGCCTCTTGTTTGGTTTCTTTCCTTATTTTGATCTTGTCTGTTTTTATTCCAGTTATCGATTCCTAGATTTTGCCTTATGGTTCATTCTTTTGTTTATTTGCTCTCTGCAGTTTGAGTTTGTTGCTTGTTCTCTCTTGTGGTGTTGTGTTGTGTTATGTCTTGTGTTTGTTCCTGTTCCTGATTCCCCTGGCTGCTGTTCTCAAGACCTGGCTATCTGACTGGACCGATTTCACCACAGCTCAGAGTATCAAGCCCTGGTTTCTCAAGCTGCTGCCTGATCTCCAGTGTTCTCATTATCTGGGGCCGCTCTATCATCCTTGTTCTTCTCCAGCCTAACTTTGTCCAGGTCTGACCTCAGCCATCCTCCTGTTCTCCTGCAGACTGCCCTTTCCTACTGTTTGGACTCTCACATCACCCCATTCGTTCCTTGTCTTGTCAATAAACCTCACTCCCTTGATCATTCTGCATCTGGGTCTCTCTTTAGTAAACTGCTGTGGCAGACCGTGACAGCTAGTTTTTGTCTTCATAATATTATTGCATTTAGAATTAAATATAACAATATCCTTGATATTAGTTGTTCAGCGCCCAAATTTAAAGCTATTCTGACTGCTATCTGACTGGTATGAATGTTACTTCAGGGTGATCCAGGAATGCTCTACTCCAGTAAATTTATGACACGGCTCTGTGGAATAGTTGATTTTGATTGGTCAGTCGCGACATTGCGAGGTATGTTATCGATAACAACTGGTAAAAACTAATAACACAGGCTCATCCGGGTAACTGAAGTCGCCGCTATATGCTTGCTAGGAACAGTTTTTCTTTGTGGATGCTTTTGTGCTTGGTTAGCTAATAAAATACTAAAACTTGATCCAATATTATGTGTATAATTATTTAATGTCACCCTGGTATCGCGGACTCGCTTTCTTGTTTCATACAAACACAGCTGCTGCCAGGGCCGGATTTACGCAGAGGCATTCTAAGCTCGTGCCTATGCTCGCTCGTCCAGGGGGAGCCCAAACACAATGAAGAGATATATAATATTTTTTGTTATACTATGGGCTATCTACAATAGTAAAAGAACCAAAGCAGAAGACATTGAGCAAATGAATATAACAAACAATAGGGTAAAAAATGACAAACTATTTCCATGTCTTCCACCTTTTTTTCCACGCTTTCCTTCTCCCGTTCCCTCCCACAGACGCACACAGACAGTAGTTACAGACACACACTCGTGCGGAGACGCGGACAGAATCTCGTTGTCAGCGCTGCAGCTGCCCTGTGAATTTATCAATAAAATAGTTTCGCAGCTGAACAGCTACATGACATTTCTCAGTAGCGAGGTTCTTGAAGCAGTTCAACTTAAAGATTCGCAATTAGTAGACGCTGCTGCTGCTGCTGAACACTGCTGAGAGACGCACAGACGCACGTATACACATGCACTTAATCTCTCTCTCTCTCCCTCTCTCTCTTTCACTCTCTCTCTAACAACCGCATTAGACTGCATTAATAACTGCGTTAGCCTGCATATCAATGGCTCAAGCCTCTGTTATTAGCTCTAAAATGACGTTTTGGAATTCGCAATGGAACGTTTGCAGAAAATTAGCTAGTTCAACACACGATATTTCAGGATGAAAACAAAAACATGTCAAATGTCTTGAAACAAATCATCTGAACAATTGATATGTGATTGTGACTCCAGGCCATTAAAATTATTAGAGAAATAATGCACTCCAGAAGTGGTATGCCCTGCCTATTAATGGAATGGTCTTTCTCAGTTCTCAAACAAATTAAGAACTACATTTCGATTTTTATTGCCTGAACGCAAGCGCTTATTGCGATAGAAAACACTGTAACGGTTTCACTGATATTTGATTGAAATATTTTTGTTTGTTTGAGTGGTCGTAATATTAGGCCTATTATATTAATAGGGATGGGGGTGAATTTATCAATAAAATAGTTTCGCAGCTGAACAGCTACATGACATTTCTCAGTAGCGAGGTTCTTGAAGCAGTTCAACTTAAAGATTCGCAATTAGTAGACGCTGCTGCTGCTGCTGAACACTGCTGAGAGACGCACAGACGCACGTATACACATGCACTTAATCTCTCTCTCTCTCCCTCTCTCTCTTTCACTCTCTCTCTAACAACCGCATTAGACTGCATTAATAACTGCGTTAGCCTGCATATCAATGGCTCAAGCCTCTGTTATTAGCTCTAAAATGACGTTTTGGAATTCGCAATGGAACGTTTGCAGAAAATTAGCTAGTTCAACACACGATATTTCAGGATGAAAACAAAAACATGTCAAATGTCTTGAAACAAATCATCTGAACAATTGATATGTGATTGTGACTCCAGGCCATTAAAATTATTAGAGAAATAATGCACTCCAGAAGTGGTATGCCCTGCCTATTAATGGAATGGTCTTTCTCAGTTCTCAAACAAATTAAGAACTACATTTCGATTTTTATTGCCTGAACGCAAGCGCTTATTGCGATAGAAAACACTGTAACGGTTTCACTGATATTTGATTGAAATATTTTTGTTTGTTTGAGTGGTCGTAATATTAGGCCTATTATATTAATAGGGATGGGGGGCCCAAAAATTAGTTTTGCCTATGTCACGAAAAGAGGTAAATCCAGCCCTGGCTGCTGCCATTTTGTGATGATTGTTTTATACACTGTAATGGATTATAAGATAACTAACATACTTTAAAGATTTTAAAACAGTTTTGTCTTAAATCAATATCTTTTATCGCCATGTCTCTGCTTTGGGTCAGGGTCCTGGCAGGCTGAATGTTTTTCCAAGATCAATAAATGTCCTTAGCGGTCCTCTGTATCCCATGAGGGGACTTAAACACTCAGGCGATGAAACGTCTGAGATGTTAAGTGATGGTAATAATGAATCAGTGGCTTTAGAGTGCACAGGTCTTCATGAATACTTGATGCAGCTGCCAGCAAACTTTGTAAACAGGCTCTGAATGCTCCGAGTTAATGGTCTCTGTTGACAGTCAAAATGTCCTTAGGGTTCAACTGATCGAGATCTGTGTCAGAAGGACTATAGTTCTGTGGCTGGTGTGTAAGTTACAGTAGGTCAAAATCTTAGAAAACCTGAGAAATAGTGAGGATACTTTCTTTTTGTTTAAACATTTCTTTTTCGCTGCATTGGTTAATTTATAAAGTAAGATGTTGTGATTAATAACAAACGAAAAAAAATAATTGGAGGAAAACTGGGTCTTTGATGAAGCTCTTGTTGATTTTGGAAGCCCAGGAGAGTAATTTGGCCATAAGGAGGAAAATGTTAACATTCCCAGCATGGGATTGCAATTAATGTTAACTACAGCATAATACCAGCTCTCATTCCCCCTAAAGATTTCCTTTAAAATCCAATTAGATCTTAATTAAACACACTGTACCACCTCACTAATCTTAAGATATGTTGTGATTGTAATATTTTCAAGGCAGTTGATTTTAGCTGAGTCCAAAAATATCAACTGTAATCAAGTATATCAACTATATCTTTATGTTATTTATCCTAGTTATATTTACCAAGATCTGACTACTAATATGAGTATTTTTTCTAAAATACACAGAACTCCGTTCAATTGAATTAGATTCAATTTTGTTCTGTTCCAATCCGTGTATCATTTGTTTTTTCTTATTTAATATTGAATGAAGAAAAATTAGAAAATGGTTCCTTTTTCATTTTTTCATAAAAAAAAAAAAAAGATTTTTCGTTTTACGTTCAGGGGTGGAAAAATTAATAAACAGCTTGTATATTTGAATATATACTTGAATATATATTTTTACAACTGCAGCAATGGAGGACTATTAGAATCCGTGTATCATTCGATCATTCGTTTTTTGATTTAATATTGAAAGTAGAAAAATGAGAAAACGGCTCCTTTTTCGTGTTTTTGTTTTTTTCCGAAAAACGAAAAACGTGAATTCAGCTTAAATTTTCGTTTTTCGTTCTTGGGTGGAAAAATGATTAAACAGCTTGAATAT